TGGTAAGCAGGTTGAAGTGGAAACGCCGAAGGAAGGAGGAAATAAGAGAGGGAGAAATAAAGTAGAGGGAAAAGAAATTGGGAAGAAAAGGGAAGTAAGAAGGAAAGCAGTTAAGAAGGAGAAAAAGATTGTATAATTTGCGAATAAGACTCGGGCAATGATTCTGTATCATTCATTTTATTTAGACCCTGTTTTTGTCTTTTGATGTGAATCATTTCAGACATCAATCTCTTATATTATACGAAGATTCGCAATCTAAAATTCTCACATCGTTCCATCTAAAGTGGTGGTCAAAATTGACGCGATGTTCAGTTATGACAGTGGGAGAACTTGTATTCTTCCTAATGTCAGATTTGTGTTCATGTAACCTTGTACTCAATCTTCTCTGTGTCTGACCAACATAACTCGCTTCACAGTCATCACACGAGATCTTATATACAACATTTTGGATTGGATAAAAATTCCAACTTATCTTTTCCCCTCCTGATAAGACCTTTTAAAGTGTTAGGAATGGTAAAAGCTAATTTACAATGGAACATGCTAGAAATCGGAAGAAAGCTCTCTGAAATAGACTTAACTAAGGAATAGTGAAATATTTATCTTTCACTTGTAAATTAAGTGTAATATGTTGTGGATATGGAATTTTAGTCTTTGTTCAATTGTAGAAAAAATGAAAGATAAAGGATAACAATTGTCCAGGAAAATATGAATAGCTTCTATTAATTTTTTTTGTTGGAATCATGGGTGTGATAATAAGAAAATTTTGTCTATAGAACTGATGATTGTACCTTTCTTATGACAAAGAGGATGATTAGAGTAAAAATTAGGAACCTACCAGAAAAAGTCTTTTTATGATATATCAAAAATAATTCTATTATTATCTATAATAAGTGTTGTGTCTAGAAAACTCAACCTGCCTCCCGAACCAACCCCCAAGGTAAATTATAGTCTCGTATGTAGAGAATTAAAAGTATTAAATGTATCAATTATAATATCAGATGGAAGCGCGAGAATAATATCAACTACATATTTGAAATAAAACAAAGGCTCTACTGTTAATCTATTGATAGCTATTTCTTCTAGATCTTGCAATACTATGCCAGTGATTATCGGCGATAAAGGTGAACCCATTGGAGTACCAAAAACCTGTTTGTAAGTTTCATTGTTAAAGGCAAAAAAGGTAGAATCTAAAATAAATTTAACTGCAATGGTAAATTCATTTTTTGAAATGTTAGTCTTCGCTGAGATGTATTCCCATCTCCTGTCAATGCTATTCAATGCTAGATCAACAGGAATATTAGTAAAAAGGGACACTACATCCAACGAAGCCAAAACATATTGAGAATCAAACCTTTTACCATTTAATTTCTCAACTAAATGGAAACTGTCTTTAATGTGGCTAAAAGTCTTTGGTATGCTGTCGTTAATAATGTTATGTAGAAAAAGAGAAAGAAAATATAAAGGACTATTGATAGAAGAAACAATCACTCTCAATGGGTTACCGTCTTTATGAATTTTAGTCAAACCGTAAGCCCTAGGTATAACACCATCAGTTGTAAGTAATCTTCGATATGTTTGATCGACAATGAAACTATCGCGCTTCCATCTCACTAACAACTCACGTAAATCCTGAGTTAACTTTCTAATTGGATCTTTAGCAATGACTTCGTAAGTATTAGAATCTGGAAGAATCTCTTCCATTTTTGTTATTTAGGTGTCTTTGTCAAGAACAACAGTGACATTCCCCTTGTCAGCGTTTGTAATAAGAATATTTGGATGCTTATTAATAAATTTATTAGTTATGTGTAGCCAATTTGAAATCTGTTTGTCAAAAAAATTGGGAGAAGGAAAATTATTCTAAAATCTGTTGAGAATTGAGATAGAATTGTTTCTAACAAAATTGATAATATTCTTGGGTCGACCAATAACATTATTCTCAATTTGTTTAATAAACTCAATCAAAGTTTTTTCTTTGTTATTCTTATTAATTGGAAGCTCAAATTTCTCACCGAGTTGTAATAGATATTTAACTTCAAGAGGAATGTCAATGCTGCTCAAATTAACGAACCATTTTTCATGTAATGTATCAAGAGAAGGTGCATCATTGAATATTTCAGGATTAATGTCTATTCTTTCAGAGTCAATACAACTGTCTTGTGAGTTATTACGGTCTGTGAATAGAAAATTGTTAGAATTGTCATTATTATCATTAAAAACCGAACAAACATAAGAAATAGGTTTAATTTTAGATTTAGATAGTGTACATTTTTTTTGTCGTAACCAATCAATCTTTTTACTAATTCTATGCATTTGTTCCAAAAAATAAGAATTGCTAATATGATCCAGATATTTAAAAAAATTACAATTTACAGAGGCTGGCAAAATATCAGGAACCATATTAGAAAGATTAAAAATATAATTTCTGGTTAAATGTAAGTGGCAGTGAGCATCCTTCAACTCCAATCGTATAATTGTCTTTACATGTTTTAATTGTATCATTTCTAGTTTTCTATAAGAAGTACTATTATACAAAGTAAAATTGTTAGATTTAGTGAGCTTATATAAATGTGGAGGAATATTCTCTGAAAATGTGTCCTCTAAAGATATTAAAATTGTCACCTAATCTCGCCTCATTTTGGTCAATCTACCCCACATAGCCATTTTTAATAAAAGAGATTGTATTCACAAACTTGGTCAGAATAATGATTACTTAATTGTAGCAAAGATTTTCTAAGATATATGTTAGAGACAATAATAACTGTAATGCCGTAGGAAGTGATTGTAGGAATCGTATTGCTTCTCTTAAAATGGATAGTTTATTGGGCCTCAATGTGGCGTAGCTCCTTGTACATAATGTTATTACTTACTATGATAAAACAACTAACTGATAGGATAAAAATCTCTCTGCCTTCACCGGTGTGGCGCCACTCAACTGTAGCGCCATCCGTGGCGATAATATAACTATACCGCATGTCGTGGGATGACCATACTTAAGGGGATGCTAAACCGATTACCCAACTCAATCAAGATCGATAGTACAGACTTTTTTAATTCCAAATTCGATAATAGTGGTGACATCTTTGATTTAGTTTTTACATTATATTATATAATATATATCATTCTGTCTTACTCAAATGCATACATCTGTTCTTATCTAACATATGCCAGCACCATCTATCGCAAGATCGTGCAACTACTGCTACATGGAATTTCGGCTCTGTTGACAGTCCCAGTCTTCGCAAAACACCTGTATACACGTATTTTCTATTCGGTGGAAATATTTCTTTTCTAGACTTTCAATCTTAGTTCTACAAACTCTGTGGTAAAACAGGAAGCTTTAGCATCGCCTTAAGGGGATGCTAAACCGATTACCCAACTCAATCAAGGTCGATAGTACAGACTCTTTTAATTCCAAATTCGATAATAGTGGTGACATCTTTGATTTAATTTTTACATTATATTATATAATATATATCATTCTGTCTTACTCAAACGCATACGTCTGTTCTTATCTAACATATGCCAGCACCATCTATCGCAAGACCGCGCAACTACTGCTACGCGGAATTTCGGCTCTGTTGACAGTCCCAGTCTCCGCAAAGCATCTGTATACACGTATTTCCTATTCGGTGGGAATATATCTTTTCTAGACTTTCAATTTTAGTTCTACAAATTCGGTACCGTTCGTTTCAATAATGTGATGTTTGCTGCCCGCTTATTTTCAAGATATGGACTCTAAAACTCTTATATCAAGCAAATATATATCCGAGGTGACAGCTGTGCGAGCCAAAAATAAGTAAATTTTATAATTTTTTTTCGATTTTCTCATAAAATCCAGTGTAGCAAACATCCTCTGTGTGCGTACTATAATTTAAGTAATAATACTTTTGCAATCCGTACATCCAATACGGAGAAATCCCACCGAATAGGAATGTGGTAAAACAGGGGGGCTTTAGCATCGCCTTAATATGAACTAAACAATATGTCATTTTCTATGAATACAGGGATATTACGATTAATAATACCAAAGACTTGTCAGACAATAAAATAGGTGATTATAAAAATTTACTCACCAACTTCATTTTCTCAAAAATCGCTATAAATAATATATACAATGCTTGTGGTGCAAACCATTTTACACAACAAATTAATATTATATCAGCTATCTATAGTCAAAAAAAGAGATTTTTCTGCCGTGTCTTGTTTGAGTTATAAGCATTTTGACAATCAACCCCGTACGACAACCAACCCCGGTCTCCCCTACTTTGTGGAACTTTTTGATCTGACTGTTGAACGGAAGTTATTATTTTCGCTAATGTCCATGGCACATCTTTAATTTTACGATAACTCTTTTGAAATAGTAATAACAATTTGTTTACTTCTGGTTTATGCATGTAGTCGTTTAGCCGGTTATATTCAATAATTGCTTCTTCACTAGTTATTATAGATAAATAATCATGATTAATCAAATACGCATTAAGATTCACTTTCGTTGCTAATTTTACTTTAATTTTATATTAAAATTAGAATTCTATGAAGGCATTGTGAACAGCAACTTAATGGACAAAATGCTTTATATATATGTTACACGTACGACTGAAAAAATTTGAAAAGCTGAAGTGGTCCCTTTTTGGGAAATGATCTCCAGATCTCGGTATCGGCTG